CACTGCCTGCACCACTACCACCACCACACTGCCTGCACCACTACCACCACCACACTGCCTGCACCACCACCACCACACTGCCTGCACCACCACCACCACCACACTGCCTGCACCACCACCACCACCACACTGCCTGCACCACCACTACCACCACCACCTACTACCACCACCACCACCACTACCACCACCACCACCACCACCACCACCACCACCACCACCACCACCACCACCACCACCACCACCACCACCACCACCACCACTACCACCACCACCACTACCACCACCACACTGCCTGCACCACTACCACCACCACACTGCCTGCACCACCACCACCACACTGCCTGCACCACCACCACCACCACACTGCCTGCACCACCACCACCACACTGCCTGCACCACCACCACCACCACACTGCCTGCACCACCACCACCACCACACTGCCTGCACCACTACCACCACCACCACCACTACCACCACCACCACCACTACCACCACCACCACTACCACCACCACACTGCCTGCGCCACTACCACCACCACACTGCCTGCACCACTACCACCACCACACTGCCTGCACCACCACCACCACCACACTGCCTGCACCACCACCACCACACTGCCTGCACCACCACCACCACCACACTGCCTGCACCACCACCACCACCACACTGCCTGCACCACCACCACCACCACACTGCCTGCACCACCACCACCACCACACTGCCTGCACCACCACCACCACCACAACCACCACACTGCCAGCACCACCACCACCACACTGCCTGCACCACCACCACCACCACACTGCCTGCACCACCACCACCACCACCACACTGCCTGCACCACCACCACCACACTGCCTGCACCACCACCACCACCACCACACTGCCTGCACCACCACCACCACCACCACACTGCCTGCACCACCACCACCACCACCACACTGCCTGCACCACCACCACCACCACCACCATACTGCCTGCACCACCACCACCACCATACTGCCTGCACCACCACCACCACCACCACCATACTGCCTGCACCACCACCACCACCATACTGCCTGCACCACCACCACCACCACCACCATACTGTCTGCACCACCACCACCACCACCACCATACTGCCTGCACCACCACCACCACCATACTGCCTGCACCACCACCACCACCACCATACTGCCTGCACCACCACCACCACCACCACCATACTGCCTGCACCACCACCACCACCACCACCACCATACTGCCTGCACCACCACCACCACCATACTGCCTGCACCACCACCACCACCATACTGCCTGCACCACCACCACCACCATACTGCCTGCACCACCACCACCACCATACTGCCTGCACCACCACCACCACCAAACTGCCTGCACCACCACCACCACCATACTGCCTGCACCACCACCACCACCACCATACTGCCTGCACCACCACCACCACCATACTGCCTGCACCACCACCACCACCACCATACTGCCTGCACCACCGCCACCACCACCACACTGCCTGCACCACCACCACCACCACCACCACTACACTGGGCCTCAGAAACAACCACGGCCGATAATGCGGTAAGTGTGCGTGATAGAGTGAATTAAGCGCCGCGTTGAGCGTCCTCTTAGAGTCATTATGGGAAACCTTTTAATGCTTCAACGATGCGTCAACCTCTCCGTCAGAAGCCGGGGCTTATCCTGGCCCACCTTGGCATCACAGCTTATCCATGTTGTCTATGTAGACCAAATGAGAATATCTGGACGCAATTTAGCGCCCCAGTTTACTCGTGTGTGCCCAATCGTTTAGCTGTTGTGATAATGCTTCTTGTAAGCCTCAAGAATTTTCTCAAAGTGCCGAAGTTCATTCAAGTTTTTATCACAAGTATTTTAGTTAAACAAGTTCCTCACGCCTCTGTGATGTAATTGTTGGCAGTAATAAACACATTATGGAATTGTCAGCAAAATTATTTACTTCGCGTATAAAATAATTTGTACAAATATTTGAACAATTATTTGTATAACTTGTTGAACCTAATTTATTGCCATTTCATTTTATATTATAACTGTTTGCAAACACACACACACCATCTTGAACATACACAACCTAACACATACTAATACACATATTCACACTACCCATCCCTCTCCCCCCTCCTATCCTCCCTCACATCCACCACCCCCACCAACCAGTCCTCCTTTCCCTCACAATCAACCGTCCCTCCGAGCCCCCCCTCCCCCCCCACCCCCTCCATGTACCACATTAGCAATTAAACCCGTCACTTGGAACACCCACAATTAGCCCCAACTTTTCCGCGGGATTAAGAAGGCAAACGACACCTCCTACCTTCCCCCCCCCCCCTCCCTCACCCACGTGGGCAGGCGAAATATCTCACCTTCTTCATTAGGCTTTTCCTCCAGCACGATCTTAATCATATTAGACGGAAAACGAGCCCCATGAGATACTTGAAACCCCTCCCCACTCCCTTACCCACCCTTCCCTTTCCCCTCCCCCCCCTCTAGTGTAGACTATACCTCTTGCCCCAGTGTCTGTGGCGCGGGTACACTCTGGCCCCTTTGGTCTGCTCTCATGTAGAGTGACTCTACACTCTGAGGACGCTCCTTATAAGGCTCTTTTGTTCTTTTCTTCCCTTATACCTCATCTCTTTAATTATACATTGATATATCTTTTTCTCTCTCTTCCTATATCACTTCACCTTGCATATACCTCATGCTTGTATACCTACTCCCCTTCCTTGTGCCTCCTTCCCTATCTTATACTCCCACTGTACTTCCTCCTTATGCCTCCTCTCTTTCCTTATACCACTCCCTATTCTTATACTTATTTTTTATCCTTCGTCCTTCTCCTTGTACCTTCTCCATTTTCTTATACCACCTCCGCTTCGGTATAACCCCTCCCATTCCATATTCTTGCTCCCCCTTCTTTATACCTTCTCCCTTTCCGTATTTCTGGTTCGTTTGACAGGTTCCATCTTTTCTTCTTTGTTATATGATGAGATAAGGAACATAGTTAAAGTCGCCACCGTTGGTCCTGCAACACACAGGAACAAGCCCACATAACATTAGTCTCCCGAAGCCCACATCAAAAGAATAACATCTGGGGCGTACGCAAGGCTGGCTAACATCAGAACTGCCTTCAGGAACCTGTGTAAGGAACCCTTCAGAACCTTGTATATACCACATATGTAAGGCCAATCCTGAAGTATGCGGCCCTAGTATGGAGCCCATACCTTCAAGTACAAGACAAAACTGGAAAATGTTCAGAGGTATGCCACTAGGCTAGTTCCAAATCTAAGAGGCATGAGTTATGAGGAAAGGCTGCACCTCACGTCGCTGGAAGACAGAAAAGCTCGGAGAGACATGATCACCACATACAAAATTCTCAGGTGAATTGACCGGGTAGATAAGGATGGACTATTTAACATGGGTGGTACACGCACAACGGGACACAGGTGGAAGCCGAGTACCCAAATGAGTCGGAATCATTAGAAAGAACTTTTTAAGTGTCAGAGTAGTTGACAAATGGAATTAATTAGGAAGTGAGGTGGTGGAGGCAGACTCCATACACAGTGTCAAGTGTAGATATGATAGTGCCCAATAAGCTCAGAAACCTGTACATCAGTTGATTGACAGTTGAGAGGGGGGACCAAAGAGGCAGAGCTCAATCCCCGCAAGCACAGCTATGTGAGTACAACTAGGTAAGTACACACACACACACACACACACACACACACTCACTCACTCACTCACTCACTCACTCACTCACTCACTCACTCACTCACTCACTCACTCTCCCCCCCCCCTTAAACCCCCCACCCCCGTCTCTCACCGTCCCTCCCTTCTCACCTCATCACTGTAATCATTTTCACTTTTCACACTGTAATCATTTTCACATTTATTTTACATGTCAGTATCCCAATATACTAATATTTAAACGAATGTTAAACGGTACGTGTTTTCGAGTGACCATTTCATATTCGCCGCTCTCTTGAAAGGAAAGGAGGGTACAGAGGCCTATTTCCCTATGAAATTCTCCATAGACTCCCCAGTTACTGTGTGAAGATGCTCAACGGTTGCGTCTGCCTTCTAATTGGATTGGCAAATGGGCTGTCTTTCATAAAGACAATTGGGTTACCTGTTAGTATCTTGAGTTATGTTGAGATAATTTCGGGGCTTAGCGTCCCCGCGGCCCGGTCCTCGACCAGGCCTTTATTTTGTTACGCATCCCAAGGAAGCAGCCCATAGCAGCTGTCTAAGTCCCAGGTACCTATTTTACTGCTAGGTGAACAGCAGCATCAGGATTAAAGAAACTATGCTCATTTGTTTCCGCCTCCGCCGGGGATCGAACCGGGAACCTCAGGACTACGAATCCCGAGAGTTGTCTACTCAGCCGTCGGGTCCCTGGACGGTAGAGCGACGGTTTTGCTTCATGCAGGTCAGTGTTGAATCCCCGAACGTCCAAGTGGTTGGGCACCATTCCTTCCCTCCGTCCGATCCCAAATCCTTATCCTGACACCTTCCAAGTGCTATACAGTCGTAACGGCTTTGCGCTTTCCCCTGATAGTTCCCTCCCTCCCACCCCTCCCTTCTCACATTTTCTCTCTCCCAGCGGGCAATACATGATCAACTAACTTCGATTATAGTTGGAACGTCTATTGCTACTCCATTGACAAACAACCCCACATTGCAGGCTTTACAGGTATCGCAATAGGAGCCACTCCTACTTAAAGAGGGCATGGGGGGGGGGTCAACCCCTTACTACCTTATGGAACTCCCCCATACAATCACAATTCACCGTGGAAAGTTCTGTGAGACTAACTGAAAACCGGTTGGCCTCCAGCCCCAGACACTCTTATAGGTATAGTCTATTATCAATATTTGTATTAAAATACAAGTTATTCGGATATTGTAAAGATTTATCAGAACAAGGGATAACTGATACAGATAATGAAAGTAATGTTTGAAAAGATAGGGAAAATGGAAACTGCTCAAAACGGCCAGAAAAATTATGAAGAAACTGGGAAAGATGTTGCAGAAACTGGGGAAGATGCTGCAGAACCTGGGGAAGATGTTGCAGAAACTGGGGAAGATGCTGCAGAAACTGGGGAAGATGTTGCAGAAACTGGGGAAGATGCTGCAGAAACTGGGGAAGATGCTGCAGAACCTGGGGAAGATGCTGCAGAAACTGGGGAAGATGCTGCAGAAACTGGGGAAGATGCTGCAGAAACTGGGGAAGATGCTGCAGAACCTGGGGAAGATGCTGCAGAAACTGGGGAAGATGCTGCAGAACCTGGGGAAGATGCTGCAGAAACTGGGGAAGATGCTGCAGAAACTGGGGAAGATGCTGCAGAAACTGGGGAAGATGCTGCAGAAACTGGGGAAGATGCTGCAGAAACTGGGGAAGATGCTGCAGAAACTGGGGAAGATGCTGCAGAAACTGGGGAAGATGCTGCAGAAACTGGGGAAGATGCTGCAGAAACTGGGGAAGATGCTGCAGAAACTGGGGAAGATGCTGCAGAACCTGGGGAAGATGCTGCAGAAACTGGGGAAGATGCTGCAGAAACTGGGGAAGATGCTGCAGGCAGCTGGAGAAATGCAAAATGGAAAAATAGATGATATATATGAAGCACGAAAGTGAAGAGAGCGAATACAAAACTAAATCACAACATCGGTGAATCAACAGATGGAAAACTAAGGATAAACAGTTAATTCACTTAGGAATGAGCTGTGGAACTCTGCCCTTGACATCAACTGGATACTGACACTGAACATTAACACTGGAAGTCAGCAGTGTACAACCACCCTGGTCACGAATCTTGGACATTAAAGTCAGTCCTGGACAACAACCCCGAACTCTCAGCACTGGGTCTCGGTCTAGTACATCAACGTCGGACATCGGCACTAATCCTCGGTCCTGAACATCAACGTTAGGGCAAGCATCAATGATAACTCTCACAGCCCCTTGGGCCAGAAATGACCAAGGCATCTCCGCCTGCACAAGGTACACAGAGCAAAAATATGCATACTCCAGCGTCATATCTCTGGTGTGCCGCCTTCAGGCGTTAGTGTGTGGGGGGGGTGATGGACTCCGAGAAACATAATGTGCGCGCGCAGTGTGGTCTAGGAATACCGGTGACACAGATATAACGCTATATGGTTAAGTGAATTTAATTTCTTTATTGTGCACCCCATACCCATCCTGTGGGCGGTGGTGGAAAGGGTTACAGAGGCACATAATCGGTTAAGTGAAGGCTGGCGGAATGTTCGCCATGTAGGGGATTGTCCATTGTCGGGTGTTGGTACACTGCGGAAATGCCTTTCGAATCGCCGTTGTGATGATACCTTTACCGCTCTCCAGGGAGGTTAGCGCCATAGCGCAAATGCTCTCATTGAGAAGGTCGCCAGGGAAATAACTGCTAAAAAAAATGCTCCATGTATAAGGTCATCCACGGTAGTGAGCGTCGAGGAAATGTTCCTCCTCCTGTGGTGTCTTCTGGGGAAATGAGGAGGTGGGGGGGAAATGCTGCCCGTGTTGGGGGGTCTCCATTTTCGATGACGTCCCGCGGAAAAAACATTAATATGCTGATATCACGTCCAATACGCCGAGGCCAGATGATCGACCAGTTTTCATAAGGCTTTGTCCAGTTCAGAAAAGTTCCCCTTTGTCCCCTTTTAGCTTGGCGTTCAGTGTTTTCTTGATAATATACATTATCTTCCCCCCATAGTGTAAAACAGCGTGTGTGTCATCTTCACCTACTGTATTTTGTATTTACAAGCCGGATTTCTAAACAAAAAATACAATCTCGGAGGCAACTTACAGTGTTAAATATAATCGCCGCATCGCTTAGGTAGTCTTCAGAGCTTGGGGGGGTACGGGGAGGAGGGAGGGGGGGGGGCGTTTAAGAGCCAAAATGACCACAGATAGACGTGGAAATATGACCTCTATAACCTAGTTGACGAGGGAAGCACCCCCCTTTCCCCCCTTATCACCCGCCACCCCCCAACGTAACATTTTGTCAATAAATGGGGGTCATATTAGTTCCTTATCATGTTTTCTTCTGGATGGTTGGAATGACGAAGTTACCCTTGCATGCGACCGAAAAGATTTGAGCGGGATATGAGAGTTTCAGCTTTGGAGCGCGACCCTTCTGAGCCTTCCCGCGCCCTACCGTAAGGGCGAGGGCGCACACTGACTTATGAAAAATGAGCGACACCGGCGCGCTACGTGACCAAACGAAAGCAGACTCTTGAGAAATGACTGGAGCACAAGTCTGGAATATTTATATCGCCCCAGTCCGACCTTGCTCCGCCTTGCGCCGCATCTCAACGGCTGAAAAAGTTCACCCTGGTTTTCTCAGTCGACATACTCCGTCGCTTCTGCAACTTTTCACTCTCTTAGGAAAAACATCTCCAGCACCGTGGAGACAGCTAAGGTTCTCGTGGCGTATTCAGAGGGTGGAAGGGAGGTGAGAGATAAACGGGGTTAGAGAGAGAGAGAATATAGAAGAAAGTAAATATATGAAGAAGAGATGGGAAACGAGAAGGTAACACGGAGGGACAGTGAGAGGGAAATTTATAGAGATCTGCAGCACCGAACACGATAACCCGAACACGATATCCACGCATGAATTAACCACGACTGGCCTCCTGTTGTCGCCTGCAACCCCCTCCCTCCCACCAACACACACCCACACCGTCCCAGAACTAAGAGGCATGAGTTACGAGGAAAGGTTGCGTGAAATGCACCTCACTTCGCTGGAAGACAGGGGAGCTGGAGGAGACATGATCACTATCTACAAAATTCTCAGAGGAATTGATAGGGTAGATAAAGATAAACTGTTTAACACGGGTGGGACGCAAACAAGAGGACACAGATGAAAACTGAGCCACAGGGACGTTAGAAAGATTTTTTTCAGTGTCAGAGTAGTTAACAGATGGAATGCATTAGGCAGTGATGTGGTGGAGGCTGACTCCATACACAGTTTCAAATGTAGATATGATAGAGCCCAGTAGGCTCAGGAATCTGTACACCAGTTGATTGACAGTTGAGAGGCGGGACGAATGAGCCAGAGCTCAATCCCCGCAAGCACAACTAGGTGAACACCACACACACACACACACACACACACACACACACACACACACACACACACACACACACACACACACACACACACACACACACACACACACACACACACTGTGTCTGTGTGTAATGCCCTCTATTTTTATTTCTTTTAATATAATTTTTTTTACCAAAGCGTTATATGACAAAGAGTGCTGGGAAGACGGGACACCACGGGCGTAGCTCTCATCCTGTAACTACACTTAGGTAATTACACTTTGGTAATTACACGCAGCATCAAGCATGAACCCCCCTTCCCCCTACCCACCTCCCCTCCTCCTCCCAGCCCCAGACTACCTTGCCATCCTCAGCACAGGAGCCTGAATCAAGCCTCGACCCTCCTCAGCCTAGTATTTACACACCTGCGATCACTCACTTAGCCAGATTTAAGAATGAGTGTCCCCCTCATAAAAGCACTACGACGCATTCTTGACAAGCCTATGAATAAATGAATAAACATGAATTCAATTTACCACATAAATCACATTCCCCAACCTCATTTCTGCCTCACTTTCCTCAAGAATATTGAATCTGGTGTTTCATGTACATACAACAATCCCCAGAGTTAATTCAATATCCTAGTTGACTGTTTCCGACTAATGAATATAGTTAGCGAGAAGGATGATATTTCTGCCTCTCTGTGGCGTAGCTGGTCTCATCTGGAGGTACTGTAGGGGGGTTTAGTCCTCTTTCGATGGATTGACTTTGATATTTCCTCTGGATTAAAGGAGAAATATTTATATGTTTTAGGTGCTTGTGTGGAGGTGTCTGGACTCCTCCCACTTGCCGTTCTGGAGCCAATCAGAGGGTTCGAGCTTAGTTTAGACCCTCCCACTCTTCGCAGGTCTCCCAATAATCATCTTGTATCAGTAGTACTTTTCCCAGCCAATTAGCACGCAAAATCCCGTCTGTGAGCCAATCAGCACGCAGAACCCAGTCCGTGAGTCAATTAGCACGCAGAACTCCCATCCGTAAACTAATCAACATGTAGAACCCCCCCAATCCGGCCAATCAGCAATCAGACCCCTGTCTATATTTCGATCTGCAAACAATATCCTGACTGGAAGTCAATCATCTAAACAGAAATCCGTTCGTAAGCCAATCAGTACAGAACAGTGACCGGCAGGCACTCCCACCCCACTCACAGCCAATCAGAAGTGTTATCGCTCCAACAGACATCTTCTCAACCGCCAACAGAAAGGAAATTTCTTGTCATTCGACGTTTTTCCTTGAGAACTTGTGTAGTGGAGACACGAGTTACTGACCCGGGATTCGATAACATTTTAATGAAACGTTCGGATATCAAAATTTGAGATCATTTAACAAGGGATATTTGAGAGGCCGGGTTTTTCATGATAACACGGTCCCCATGATAACATTGGTCCCATGATAACATTGGCACCATGATAACACACTACCTATAATAACATTTTACCCATAATGACAGTGCTCCTCATAATAATATCCCGAGGATGACAATGTCAATATGATAACAAATTCCCCCCATGATGACAATTGCCCCATCATGGCCTCCCATCACCTCCCATCTCCCTCCTGACTCCCCATCTCCATCCTGGTCATCCATCTCCCCACTCCAGCATCCCTTTATCTTCCCTTTTTTTTTCCTCTGTCCACTTTTTCACCCTTTTCCTTCCCCCCCCCCCCACCCTCTTCCCCTCCTTCTCTCCCTCCCAAACCGACGATCTCGCTACATGCAGGTCGGCGTTCAATCCCCGACCATCTAAGTGGTTGGGGCACCATTCCTTTTCCCCCGTCCCATCTCAAATCCTTATTCTGATCCCTTCCAAGTGCTATATAGTCGTACTGGCTTGACGCTTTCTCGTGATAGTTCCCTTCCCTTCCCTTCCCTTCCCTTCCCTTCCCTTCCCTTCCCTTCCAGGCCAAGGCAGCGTCAGCCCAGCTGGCCCTGTCAGCGTCGACGTCAATTATCGGGGGAAGAGGGTGTTATCCAACGAGGCACGGGAAGGTCGAGTATCTGAGGTCATCACCACACCATTCTGGTCCTTAACTCGCCTCTTGCACTTGTCACCGTCCTACGCCGCCTCCGTCACCTGTCAGCTTCCATGCTCTCGACTCCTGAAGGGAGAGGGGGGAGGGGGGGAGTGAGAGGTGATGGGGTAGGGACAGGTGATGGGGAGAGAGGAAGGAAAGTGATGGGGGAGGAGAGGTGACGAGGGAGGGGATATGAGGAGAGATGGGAGGGAGGAGGAGAGGGAGAAGTGATGGGTAAGGGGGAAGGAGAGATAATATGGGGCAAGACAAATGATGGGGAGGGGGAGCAGAGGTAGTGGGGAAGGGGATGTAATATGAGGGAGGGATAGAAAAGGGTGATGTAGGAGAGGGGGAAGGATAGATGATGGGGGGGAGGGACGAGAAAGGGTTTGACAGATGTCAATTTTATCCAGTCGACAAAGGGCAGCTTGCATGTCGTACGAATATGGCATCGAGAGAACGGTACAGCCGCGGTACG